TGAGTGTGGCTCTTCCTAAGCCTTAGGAGTACCCTAATTAAGTTAATAACAATGTACCTACCTATATAGTTTAAGTTTAAAAAATTTGGCTCTCAAAAGAAATTTCAATCGTTGTACTATTGACATTTGGCTCTGTTGACTAATGAGTTTGCCGACCACTGTGGACTTAACCCATCTGAGAAAAAGTAGCAAGTCCCTGGAAGGTTTGGAGCAGAGGAATGACATGACATGTCCTATATTTTAACAGGCTACCTGGCCAACTGTGTGGAAACCTGGCACCTGTCTGCTCACCCCGCCAGGCTCCTCCTGTTGCTTACTGAGCACCGTCTTTCCGCCCTGCCCCTCACCGCAGCCACGAGCTCTGCAGGGACCCTGCCCCATTCACAGCAGAGCACATGCGCACTGCTGAGGCGCACCCGCAGGTCTCAGAGAAGGAGTGCTGAGGCCTCCCTCTCTCCCTTCTGTAGCGCCTCATCCGGCCTCTGTCCCGGCCCCAAAGACTCTCTGTTTTCCATAATTGGCGACTGGCATGACCACACGGATAGCGGAAGGTAGAGTGAAGACCAGAGAGTAGGAGCTTCAGGCCTGGATGCCTCAGCACCACCTCTGGATCCAACATCCTGATGTTTAATGGCGCAGTGTGGGTACTCTCACTTGGGGGCCACCAGGCGGAGGTATTCTACTTTCTGCTCCCTCCCGTGGGTGGTCCTGCCCAGGGCTGCTGTGAGTACACCTCCAGGGGGCGCCAATCACATGCATTCTGTTTCCTTCTGCCAGTCTACTTCCTATTCTTTCTCCCTGCCTCGCATGGGCGACACACCCACTTTGGAACCATCTGATCAGAAATAGGGACTCCAGATTCAGGGATGTAGAGCTTCATCTCACCTGGCCGAGAAGGCAGCGATCACCGATGCCACCCTGCAGAGCTGTCCTGTCCCCACCCACAGAACGGCACCAGCCTGGATGCCAAGATCTGGGGTCCATATGCCTGAGGCTCTTGAATGTCCAGAGGTGGTGCCTCTGCCATCTGACCTTTTCCTGGAAGGAGCTGGAGGGGCACCCGGTTGGTCCAAGGGAGGCCAGTGGCTTCAGTGGAGAGGTGGGCAGCAGAGAGCTCACCCAGGCTGGCAGCACATGCAGGGACAGCCAGGCTGCCAAACAGGCCAGGCCTATATGTGGCCCAGTTATCTCCCCACTTCCCCCCAAGTAGCAGTGAAGCACATGGTTCAAAGCTTAGGTTTTGGAGCTATTTGGCTTGGGTTCAAATGCCACTTCCATTATTTCCCTTCTGTTGGCAAGGCTTTTCCTCTAGGCGCTCCATCTCCTACCTGCAGAATGGGTTTACCTCCTTGGGTTGTCATAAGGATTTGGTGAAATCACTCCCTGTGTGGCAGTCATTATTACTGCCTGGCTTTCTAGCATTTTCTCCCAGTGGCTTAAGCCTAAGCCCCTGCCTTCCCTTCCCTTTTTAGTTTTCTTACTGTTCCCTGGACCAACCATCCAGGGGTTGTGGAACCTCCTAGTGGCACCATCATACTAGCCTCGAACCGTTGATTCAGTGGGGGATGTTTTTAACGTAGGGTGTACGTTTTCTTGGGGTGTCTGCATTGTCCCAAACAAAGCAGGGAGTGAGACCAGCTGGAACCATGAGAGCCTTTTCATTCTGGCAACTCTATGACTTCATGAAATCCATATTACTGTCCTTGCAGGGCCACGAACTTGGCTCCACAGTCAACCAGCAGATCCTTGCCTGAGACCACAATGTTGTGTGCAGGCCCGGCAGTGCCATACCACCAGGGGGCGCTGCCTGGTTGGGCTCTCTTCCCACTTCTCAAGGAGGCAGAATCCGAAGCCCTAGGTTTGAAGCTCAGACTAGGGGTCTGTGGACAGGTAGACCCGACTTTGAAGGTCTGCCACCTGGCAGCTGGGAATGGCAACAGGGGCTCTTCACATCACTTGGGCCCATGACAGGTTGCCTCCTGTTCCCCTAAATGCCATTCCATCTTATGACTAAGAGGACAATGCCCAGGTAACGAGCCGGGGCTCAGAGAGGCAAAGGGGCTGCTTGCTGAAGGCCACACAACTGGTAAGTGGCAAAGCAGATTCCTCCTAGGCTGCCTGATGCCAACCCTGGGGCTGCAACATCTGACCAGCAGGAGAGGCCGAAAGGTAAGGGGGAAGAGCGTGCCCTGGAGACTGGAGCCGGGTCTGCATCCCACTCTACCTCCACCCAGCACAGCTGACCATCCCCCGCCCCCGCTTCCCCTCCTGAGACCCCATGGATGGGATCTCAGGGAGCCCCTCCTCTTTTGGGTCAGTGGGTGAGGGGCTCGGGATAAGCATGAGAAGACCTCAATACTCAACCAAGACGTGTGATTTTCCTGGCACATAGCCTAGCCTCTTCAGGGATGATTTTCAGTCTTGCCAGAGACTTCCACACACTCCCCCACCCCCCACCCAGCCATGGACACCCCAGCTTGCAATTGCACCTCAAGTCTTGGGCAGGTGCTGGGCTAGATGGAGCCTGGGCACCTGTGCTAGGGAGTGAGGCCACCTGGAGCCACAAGAGTGCTGAAGGCCACCATTCATCCTACTTGGTGCCCCTTGCTACATGCAGCCTCATGCCTGCCCTGTGAGGCACACTATTGTCATCTCCATTTTACAGAGGGGAAACTGAGGCTCGGAGAGTACCTGAGCAGGTGGAGAGGAGGCTTGGCTTCCTCCCATCTCTGCCACTGACTGGCTGGATGCATGAGGAGTGGGCAGGCTGGGGTCCTGGCCTCTGCTTGGGATCTGGAGAATGTAAAGGGCATGCGGGCTGGTTGTCTTTCAGCAAAGGTATCCTGGGCACCAACCCTGGGGACCGACAGGAAGGAAACAGCAGGCTTTTTAGGATCTACAAGCCCAGGAGCTCAGATAGGTCCCCACCTGATAAGTGGCAGCAATACCTGTGAGTGAGCATGTGCAGAGGCCAGCAGGGGCGACAGAGGGCTCTGGTGATCAGCCAAGG